GTCTATCCCTTTCTTTCTGACTCATTTCGCTTAACATGATACTTTCTATGGCTGCAGGAGATTCCATAATAAGGACTTTTAAAAAAACCAACTTTTTGAATAGAAAATACATTCTAAGCATCAAAAATCAGAAAAAATTTCAATGATCCATAATGAAAAGTCTTTCCTTCCTTCTTAATTCTCATCTCCACTCCACTGTGTCACCTCCTTTCTTTCTTTTTTTGAGGGGGGGGGGGGATAGGTTTGGGTCCATACCCAGCAATGGTCAGGGTTTACCCCTGGCTCTTCACTCAGGAAATACTTCTGGCAGTGCTCAGGGGACCATATGGGATGCTGGAGATTGAACCTGGTTCAGCCACTTGCAAGACAAACACCTACCTCTCTCCGTTTCCTTCCTTCTCTTTCTTTCTTTCTTTCTTTCTTTCTTTCTTTCTTTCTTTCTTTTCTCTCTTTCATTCTTTCTTCCTTGCTCTCTTTCTTTCTCTCTCTCTATTTTCTTCCTTCTTTTTCACCTCTCTCAGTCTCTTTGGCCTTTTTTATTTTGGTAGTTGGAAGTGAATGCAAAGTCATTTATGATTGTTGTTTCCATTTTATTTTATTTTTAAAATTTAACTCGGGGTGAATGAGTGGGAGTGCTTGGGCCACACCTGATTGTGCGCAGAGGTTAATTTTGGCTCTGTGCATAGGAGTGACCTCTGAAGGCACTTGAAGGACCATATGTGATGCACAGGATATGAGCTCTGGTGGACCACATGTGGGGCAAGTGCCTTCCCTCCTGCACTCTACCCTGGTCCCCCTCTCCTGTCACCACCATAGATATTGTACACAGCGATACTTACTTTGTTTCCCTTCCCCCACTTTTTTTTTGTCTTGGTGCTTATTTCAACTCAGTACATAAAATACTTTCTCCCTTTGAGGCTGCAGCAATAGCACAGCGGGTAGGGCATTTGCCTTGCACACAGCTGACCTGGGTTCAATTCCCAGCATCCCATATGATCCCCTGAGCACCGCCAGAAGTAATTCCTGAGTGCAGGGCCAGGAGTAACCCCGGTGCATTGCCAGGTGTAACCCAAAAAGCCCCCCCCCCCCAATTTTTTTAAATACTTTCTTCCTTCTTTGCTCTATAGTTACATGACTTCCTTTCAATCCCTGATTTCCAAACTATTGACACTGTGGACATCTCTTTGACTCCTGGTTCTATCTCCACTCAGTAACCCTTGTTCCATCATTATCCATCTCAGTCCCTCATAGACTTACAAATCTGTCAGGTGCACTGAATCTTCCTTTCATTGAGACGTCTCTTATGTCCCCTCTAGGACAGGAGGAGGTGACATAAGGACAATGGTGGAGGGTCTGGAGCCTTTGGTGGTGGTTGAGTGCAATGACTTTGGACATTAATACTATAAACACTGACATTATTATAATCATATTACCTAAATTAGAATTTTAAGAAATACATTATAAAAATAAGAAACCAGAAAGGTCCCTTAATAGTGCTATAACCCTTAAACTTCCTTTTATTTAGTTTTCTTTTTTTTTTTAATTTTGTGGAAAGCCGCACCTGATGGTACTTAGGGTGACCGAGTGGGGGGGGGCATGCAGACTAGGGGCTGAGCCTAACACCTCACACATACAAGGCATGTTTGTTACTACCAGAGCCACGTTCCCAGCCCCACACTCTGCAGAGAGCCATCTATGGGTTCCACTTCACTGTCCATCTTCAATCCCTCAACGATCTGCTTTCCTCTTCTTGCTTGTACTAAACCTGATCTCTCTTCAGCTGTCATTTTATTTGTGTTTGTTTTGCTTTGGGGGCGACACCCAGCATCACATGGGTAACTCATGACTCTGAACTCAGGAATTACTCCTGGCAATGCTCAGGGGATCATATGGGATGCCGGGGATCAAACCCTGATCAGCTGTGTGCAAGGCAAGCACCGTGGTACTATTGCTCTGCCCTCTCTCGACTATCACTAAATAGAAATATTCAGGAACTATTTTTTTTTTCAGCCTTCACACCTCGAACATCTATAAATGAACACTACCTCTAGCTTACTCATTCTTAGAACTCTTCACTTTACTTCCACACCACCTGGAAAGGGTCAGTCTCTGTCCATTCCAACCTTCTATTGAATCAATTTCCAGGCCTCAGGGAGAGAATTCCAAAGATTAAAATGGATGCTTTGCAAGCCAGAAGCCTGGGTTCAATCACCAGGCTCTTGGAGGATTGCATAGTCCTCTGAGAACTGCCACAAGTAACTCCTGAGCAAAAAGCCTAGAGTAATCTCTGAGTATTACTGTTGTGGCTCAAAAATAAACAGGGCCAGAGAAATAGTACAGCATGTAGGACACTTGCCTTGCACATGAATGACCAGGACTTGATCCCCAGTACCACATATGGTCACCTGACCACTTCCAGGAGTGATCCCTGAGCACAGAACAAAGAATAAACCCTGTGCACAACCAGGTATGTCCCCAAAATTTAAAAAATAATTTAACAAAAATCTTTAAGTGGTCACCTTTAATGGTCAATCTCCCTATAACCTGGCCTCAGTTTACCCCTAGTGTCGCCATTAACTCTAGCCTCCTCAATCTAGCCCAAGAGGCTCTATCTTCCCAATGGACCCAGTTCCATTCTTTCCCATCAGTTATGTCCATCACCCTAAACTGGATCTTCGTCTCTGCTTATCTAGAAATGAGAAGTTTCTCACAAGCCCTCCCCTGCAAACTCTTGCCCCTAACCGAAAATAGGAGGTCTCACACCATTCCCTCCTTCAACAGTTAGTTCTAGATCACTTCCACACTAAATCGCCAATCTTACATTCGAAACCTTCTATAATTTTAAGTCAATTTAGCATGTGTTGACACCCACCAGGAAAGTTTCATACTAAAGTCCGTGCAGTGTCATATATCATGTGGCATGGCATCCCCTGCTGTACAAAACCACCTTAAGGTTCAGCCACAGCATTATTTGTCACTATGTACAAAGGCTTTTGTGTTTCAGGCTTTCATTCACCTGGAATACTCTTCTTCTCCTGCTTGGCTATTTTAAATCTTGTCCTCTCCTATTTGGCAGAACAGTTTCTATGACCATTAACCAAATTGTTATATATATATATATACATATATATATATTTCCCTATTTTCTTCTAAATTCTGTTCAAACCAATGACTGGTAATAGCCCAGCTAAGTGTCAACCTGTACTAAGTGATTTACCTGTATTACCTCACTTAATCCCCATTAACCTTGGTAGGCCAGAACTTCGCCCTGCTGAAGCCAAAGCTTAAAGAAATGGAGGCTGAAGAGACAGCACAGGGATTAAGGCATTTGCCTGGCACCCTGCCAGCCCCACTTTGAACCACTGGTACCACATATTGTCCTCCAAGGAACTCCCGGGCTTACTCCAGAGCACAGAGCCAGGAAAAGAAGAGGAAGATGAGGAGGAGGAGGATGGGGGGAGGAGGAGGAAGAGAAGGAGGAGTGGAAAAAGGAGGAAGAGGATGGGGGAGGAGGATGAAGAAGAAAGGAAGGAAAGAAGGAAGGAAGGAAGGAAACAGAAAAGAAATGAGAAAAGAGGGAAGGGAAGGAAAAGAAATGAGAGAAAAAGAAGAAAAGGAAGTGGTGGATATGGGGGATTAATTAGCATGCCCAGACCATGCCACTGATGACAATGAAATCAAGTATCCGAGTCCATTCCGGCTGCTATAACAGAAGTGCCATAAAGTGGAGGACTCACGAATAATAGCAAACTGTCTCTGCCTGTTCTGGGGGGGGTGGGCGGGGGGCGCTTCCATAGTAATGGTAGGAGCAGGCTCAGCACCCCTCAGAGTAGCTTCATGGGCTACCAGCTCTTCACTGTTCCTCAGTGAAAGCTGAAAGGCTGCTAGTTGCTTTCCTAAAGACGCTAAGCCCACTCAGCAGGACCCCATTCTCAAGGCTTAAACCCACCTCCTTAAAGCCCCAGCTTCCTATACCTTGGGAGTCATGGTTTCAACAGATGAATTGGGGTAGCCAAGGCAGGTGTTAAGGAAAAGCATGGAGAGATGAGGGGAGAAGCTGTTCAAACATTTGGTGAGCAGCATTCATGTTTGTTTTGTGGTGGCCAGCATAAAGCCTACACCAGACTTAGCACGTTCAACTCAACAGCAGCAGGTCAATGTGTACCGACTTCAAGGAAAGAGAGCGACAGGGATTGAGGTGGTAATGAAATAAATTTGCGGGACTATTGGATGCTGATTGCATATTTCCACTACTGGCTTACAGAGCTTTTTAAATGTGGATTAGAAAATTCGGTGGGAAGGAGTCACACCCAGTGGTGCTCGGGCTTACTACTGGCTCTAGGCTCAGAGACCGGTGCTGGCGATGCTCAGAGCTGCCAAAGGTCGAATCCCGGGTTGCTCACGTGCAAGGCAAGCTCTCTTCACGCTGTACTTTGACATATGCTCTATTTTACACATATAGTTACTGAATGGATGCTTAATTTGTCATTGCTATGTAGAGTTTAGTTCTGTCCCCCTGGTTTCATTGCCACCCCCACCCTCCCCTAGGGTTTAGCTCTAGCCTCTTGCGTTCCACTTCCAACGCATCGCTCCACACCGGGTGGGTCCGTAGCTGATGCTAACGAACGCGTCTTTGCATTCGCACAGCCGCGGGGAGGTGGGCGTGCAGCGTGCGTTCCTTCTCGTCCTTTTTCCGTCCCCCACGCCAGCCCCTCCGCCCGCCCGCCACCCCGGGAGCAGGGGCAGCAGCAGCCTGGATGCTTTTCCTCCTCGAGGGAGGCGACGGAGAGCGCTGACCCTTTAACAAGTTGTCCCTGGCTAAACAGGTGTCTCCCCCGCCTCTCGGAGGAGGTGGGGGGGATGGCTAGCCGCTTAGTGACACCGGGGGCCCACCAATGAGAAGTCGGGCTCGGGCCGCTGCTCCAATGGGCGTCCGGGGGCGGGCCCGGTTTCCCGGGAGCCCGGCGGGCTGGTCCTGCGGCCGCCGCGGAGTCTCCGGCGCTCCTACGCTGCGCGCGCGGCGGCCCCGGTGGCGGCGCCGTCCCTGCGGCTCCTCCCGCCGCGGCGCGGCCCCCCGCGGCCCCGGGCTCGGGCGGCCGCCGCGGGCAGCTAGGCCCCCGGGGGCAGCGGCGGCGGGACCATGGCCCGGAGACCCGGGGCGCCGGCTGCTTACGGCGACGAGTTCTCCTTCGTCAGCCCGCTGGTGAAATACCTACTCTTCTTCTTCAACATGCTGTTTTGGGTGAGTCTTAGGGATGGGGGGGGGGGGTCGTGGGGGGTGGGTGGGGGGTGGAAAATGGGCTTCAGGGTAACACATCCCCGGTACCCCCACCCCACCCCCCCGCCGCGGAGGAGGTGGAGTGGGCTGCCCGCGGCTAAGCAGAGAGGAGGTGGGGGGCGTCCCGGGATGCGGGGTTCCAGGCGAGCGTGGTGAACTGCACTGCCTAGTTTTCTGCGCTGGCGGCACTTTGGGCTGGTTGCTCCCGGCCAGGGGAAGCCCCGCGGTGGCGCCGGGTCTGCTGGGGGAGGGTCATCGGGGGCGGGATATGTGAGCGATTGGGCGAAGCCTTCTGGGTATTTGCTGGACGTCGATGAGGGTCAGCATCAGGCCAAGACGGGGCTTGCAGACGCGCCCGGGAACATTCACCCTTGGGGGACTTACAGGCCTAAGGACCGGGGATGTCAAAGGAAGAAGAGCCAGGGGGCAACCCAGACCTTCTCTCCTCCTGGTCTCAGACTGGAGGAGAAAGGGGTTTCATCTCTTCCCCTTGCAGGCCTCTGGTACCTGCCAATCCCCCCCCCCCCCCCCCCCCCCGCGGGCTGAAAAGGGTCAGGAATGACCTCCGAGTATTAGTGCCTTTGCCAGAACTGGGCCCCCGCACCCCACCTCCTCAGACTTGGTGCCACCAGGCCACCCTCCAGGCTGTGGGCTCAGCTTCTGTCTTTAGGCTCCTGTGTTGGATTGGAAGGTCAAGGGTCCTTTCCTAATCCTCTGCTTGGGAGTGCAAAAGTGAACAAAATCTGGGTCCAGAGGCAGAATTCTCACTTTTTCTCAGCCGTTAATTGTTGACCTGACCAAGCTGGGCAGTGCGCTTGGTCTCACCTAAGCCTTCCCTTCCTCTGCCGTCAGTCAAGCCCAGGCTGAGCAGAAAACTCAGCTGGCGCTGAGAGTCCAACTGGGCCAGATCATGCAATGCCAGCCCAAGTCTATTTCCTCCCTGGAGTCCTCAGTCCCCTTTGGATTTGAGAACTGATGGAAGCCCTTCCCTCTCCCCCATTTCCCTTCCCACCTCACATAGCTGCTGTTCTAACAGCCCATTATTCTATTTTTACTGTGTGTGTGTTGAAGGGGGGGAGGATGTATCACAGGGGGGCATACCCGATGATGCTCCGGGGTTACTCCTGGCTCTGCACTCAGAAATTACTACTCCTGGCAGTGTTTGGGGAGAGGGGGGAGGACCATATGAGAAACCTGAGATCGAACCCGGGTCAGCTGCATGCCAGGCAAACACCTTACCCCCTGTATTATCTCCCCAGCACAAGAGCCTGTTATTCTTGCCCAGTACCTAAAGTTCAGGCATGCAGGAGCGAAACATCAGGAGTTGAATATTCATTTTCCTAGGAGAGGGAGCAAACTGGACATCTAAGCCTGGTGCTGGCAAGGTTTCATAGGAGCTATGGTATGAAGAGAGGGTACAAAGTACCCAAGTGCTTGCCAGTTGGGACAAATGAGGGAAATCCCAGAGGGTGGTGATGCTGCCACCTCACTCCCAATCATTGTTCCCGGAACATTCAAGTTTGAGCCCCTATCAAAGTCTTGGTTTGAGAAAGGCAAAAAATAAAAATATGTTAGAAGAGGTCTGATCTGCACCCACGTTTTGTGCATAAGAAACTGAAAGCGCAGAGAGGCCTATTGCTTTAGGCTAGGTCCAACAGCTGCCCGGTAGGCTCAATGCTGGTGATTTTGCCACGGAACCACGGTGCCTGCCTCTCGGGAAAGCTCTTGGCCCACATGGCTGAACCGTCGCCAGGATTTCAGCAGTTATCAGAAGTTAGCCTGGCTGCTCAAGTTCTCAGGGCTGGGCTCTGCTTTAGCTAGAGATTACAGAAGGAAATCTCTCTCTCTCTCTCTCTCTCTCTCTCTCTCTCTCTCTCTCTCTCTGCCAGGGCTGGGGAAAGCCCTCTGGGGTTCCCCTTCTGGGCAAATCCCCCTGATCCCTGTTGCGTGTGCTGCCTCAGGGGCACGCCCTGCTCAGAGCCTGCGGAAGGGTCAGCCTGTACGCCCATTTTCCTCGCTCTTATCTACGCTCCCAGCCACACCAGCTGGGTGCATCTGTCCGGCTTGTGTTCATGGTCATTTGCTTGTACTTCCCAGCCCCCCAAACCGCACCCCTCTTATCAGACTGATGACTTTCCGGGGGCGCAGCCAGGGAGAGAATTTGGCTCCATCGACCCGTTTACCTTCATTCAAGGTCAGAGGTCCTGGCTAACCAAAGCTGGCACCGCCCCAAATTAGAGAAGATCCCCTTCTGGGCCCCACTTAAGACTCATAAAAAGTGAGAGGCTCTAGAAATAGCACACCGAAGGACAAGAGGCCCGGTTTCTCTGGCACCAATTTACTGTATCACTGTAAGCCAGTATACCTGTCTCTCTGTCCTTAATCTTTTGCCTCTAAAGGATCCCCTAAAAGATTTCTAATCTTTCTCCTCTGCCCCTGTGAGCTTAGTTAGAGATGAATACTTTACTTTGGAGACTGTATTATTTAACCTCAAGGCCCAAGACTGGAGAGATCGTATGGCGGATAGACAGATGGATGACTCTCCGGCCTCTCTGCGCTTTCACTTTCTTACACACAAACCGTGGGTGCAGGTCAGACCTCTTTTAGCTGGCACTTGCCTTGCATGCAGCCAACCCAGGTTCTGCCCCTGCCGTCTCATATGGTCTCCTGTGCACCACCACGAGTAATTCCCGAACGCAGAGCCAGGAGCAACCCCTGAGCATCACCGGGTATGGCCCCCAAACAAAAATAGGACAAACAAAACAATTTAAGACCCAGGACCAGATCTAAGGATGCCTCTCTCAGTGTCTTGGTCTCCCACTGACAACCCCAAGAGATGGTGGCGTAACTGGTGCCATTTCTTCCCCAGGCCCAGACCCGCAGAGTGACATTCTGCACAGCGCAGCCAGAGACAGAGGCTGGCTGCCCCCCCCCCCCCACAGTTACCCCCCCTCAGACCACTTCTGTGGCTTCCGCCATTCTAATCTGTCCCATTCTTCTGCCTCAGGAGCTCCCATGGGTCTCATTGTTCCCACGCCCTTCCCAGCCAGAGGGCCTGTTCTGGCCAGCGGCTGGGGGACCCACTGTCTGAAAGAAAGGATTGTGTGTGGAGGACATTGGAGAGGCAGCCAGTGTCCCAGTCACACTTGGTGATGGCGGTGGCAATGGTGGTGATAGTGACAGTGGGGGTGGCAGTGATCGTGGTGGTAGCAGTGATGGCAGTGGTGGCCGTACCAGTGACAATGGTGATGGCAGTGGTGGCCCAGTCTTTCTCTGCCACTGCTCTCTCACCCTCATCCTGGTTCCTTTGGAGGAGCCAGAAAGCTGTTACTCCAGTTCTTCTCACTCACGGTCCAAATCTTACTTCCTTGTTTGCCTGTTTGCCTGATCTCCCCCTACTCGTGCGTGCGCGCGCGCGCACGCACACACACACACACACACACACACACTCACAGAGCTGAGTTAATGATCTCATGACCTGGAGTTGCAGCTCCCCAGAGCCCTTAAAGTTGCATTTTATTTTTCAAATAAAATTTTTGGTTTGGGGGCTACATGCAGCAGAGCTTACTCCTGGGCTGCCCTTACTCTGGGCTCAGGGATTACTTCTGAGCAGTGAGGCTCAGGGGACCTTATAGAGTGTCGGGAATCGAACTCCAGTTAGATGCATGCAAGGCCAGTAATAGTACAAGACCTAACCTATTGCTCTGGCCCTGAAAGTTGCATCTTAATTTTTCAGCTCAGAAGTTGAGGGGCTGAGGGGCTGGAGCAATAGCACAGCGGGTAGGGCGTTTGCCTTGCACGCGGCTGACCCAGGTTTGGTTCCCAGCATCCCAAATGTTCCCCTGTGCACCACCAGGGGTAATTCCTGAGTGCAGAGCCAGGAGTAACCCCTGTGCATCGCCAGGTATGACCCAAAAAGAAAAAAAAATGAAGTTGAGGGGCTGAGAGAGAGGGAGGGAGGGAGGGAGAGAGAGAGAGAGAGAGAGAGAGAGTTCACAGGTTATAGCACCTGCCATGCACACAGCTGAGCCTGCTTTGGTCTCTGACACCCCCTGTGGTCCCCTGAGCACCACCAGGAATGATTCCCTGAGCACAGCCCAGTGTGGATATTCCCCTGGAGCAAAGAAACAAAACCCTTAGTGCAGGAAGTTGATGGCTTTCCCGCCCTGTCAGTGTTGGATAGCCATGCGTGGGGCCAGGGCCAGGCTGGTGCTTGCTTTATCAGCCGTGGGCAGGCAGGGGCTGAGACATTATCAGGGCCACCCGGCACAACCGCCTCCTTGCTGGCTGGTCCTCCTCCTACTCGGGCAGCAGTTAGTCTGGCTTTGGGGTGGAGCCTGAAAGCTCAGCCCTGCATGTGCCCTCCTCCGGGGCCCCCCATACCCCTTCCCTGTGATCTCTCTCTCTCTCTCTCTCTCTCCCCCCCCCTCACCCGCTCCCTCCTTCTCTCTCTCTCTCTCTCTCTCTCACACACACACACACACACGCATACACACACACACGCATACACACACACACGCATATACACATACACACACATCCTCAGCTCCACCATTGTTGGAGTGAGAGTTGCCTTGCAGAGTGGATTTGGGAGGTGCTTCCCCCATTTTCATGCTCCCGAGTCTGTCAAGATGCAGCGTGTAACCCTAAGTCCTCCCATGTTCTCGGGGACAGGGTCATCCAGCATGTGCACATCCTCTCTGCCCCTCCCTCAAGCCAGGGCTGAAGAAGGGGCAGCTGTCCCCTCCAGCTGCTGCCCCGGGCCATGCTGAAGTCCTCACTACAGCACCCGGGCAATCCAGGGTCTCTGGTCCGTCATCTTCTCCAGGAACTTCGCTCTCCCATCTAGGACCACTGCGCTGGAGTCCACGGGGTATGCCGGTCACGCCAGAGCCCCTGCAACACCCTCTGATGTGATCTGGGTCAGGCATCAAGCTGGGCATCCCCTGTCCCACCGCCCAACA